AACATCAGCACAAACGTTTAAAACCCTCCAAACTGTAGTGATGTAGGGCATAATAAATACAACGTTCAATCCTTCGAATATCAATTTGAATCATAAATGAACCTTTTCTTTGGAAAATGTCATCTACATTCAGAAAATGCAGAACCTTCTAGATATCATTTAAAAAATACATTTTATATTTGACTGTGCCGAAATAAAATAAATATTCCGGTATGTGATGAAATTCGAACGATTTGAAATCAATCGATTTGAAAAGGTATGATGAATTTCGATCGAGGAATGGTTTAATATTTTCTTGCAAAATACTAAGCAGACTACAAAATACATTCCATTTAAGAGAATGTATTTAAAAAAATATGATAATTTGTATGAAAAGCCACAGAAATTGAATATTACACAATTTTTGGATTATTTTTGTAGATTCAAATCGATTCTATTTTAAAAGTGAACTTCATCAAATAGCTGCTTGTAATGTATTGATATTAATATTGGCATCAAATTGATTTTCAGAGGAGGTCCTTTTAGGATTTCTTGTGTTAATTTTGGTCCAAATTTGAGTCTACTATAGAAAAAGAATGTGTATGCTTTTCGGGTCTACGACGAAATGAAAAAATAAATTTGTATGTATTATATATGGTATCATACAACTATAAGAAATAAAAGGTTCAAAATGTACAAGATTAGCTGTGCTGAATTTTGTTCTGCATAAGTCAAAAATAAACTAAGATAGTAATTTTTAAGCGAAAAATCCCGGGATTCGGGATGTCCTAATCCCGAAAAAATCCCTGGATTTATTTTGCAAATCCCGGGATTCGGGATTTTCTAATCCCGAATTCGGGATCGGGATTGGCATTTGGAAGATTGTTGGATGATTAATCAGTAAACTGACTCATTTTTGTCTCCTTTTGATGACCTAAACGTGATTAATAAGTTGAGCGCTTAAAAATTGATTCGAAAATGATTCCGATATATGATTGAAAACTGACTATTTGAAAAACAATAACAAAATGTATAGCAATCATAAATTGATCATCCTGGTGTATAAAATATGATGGTTTTAAAAACTTATTTTGTGATCATATTTCGAGCAGTTGGAAGATCAAAAATTGCATCTTATGTAATTGTTTTTGTTTGCAATGGAATAGCAACATTTATACTTAAAAATGACTCAAAAATGAATCGAAACTAATTAGAAATGGGCTCAGAAAAGACTCTTTTAGAAGAGTTGGCAAAAAATTTTGTGTGGCTTAAAATAAGTTGATATAATTCTCATTTCGTTTATAGAATTAAATGTATTAGTATTTCAATTTTTGTGGTATTTATAAAGTAAATTTTCTGTCAAGGAAATTGAAATTTTATTATTCTTTAATTATAATAATTTTATATGTTTAATAATCTTCTACGGATGATAGTTGGGTGACTAATCACTAAACTAAGTCTAAACAATTCCAATTAATGTTTAAAATCTGATTTATTTGAAAAACAATAACAAAATGTACAGCAATCACAAATAGGTCTTCCAGTTGTTCGAAATTTGATTGTTTATAAATTTATTGTTTATAATTTATTTATCGATTCTGACTCACTTTTTAATCTTTTTTGTGTCATTAATGAGCGGACTTACTGGTCGTTTTAGAATTATTTTCTAATCATATTATAGTCATTTTTAAGTCTTTTCTGAGTAATTTTTATGTTTGTTACAGACAAATACAATACAACAGAAAACACTTTTTGATCTTCCGACTGCTCGAAATGTAACTACAAAATTAATTTATAAGCAATCAAATTTCGAACACCTGGAAGCACTGTTGCCAGATTTGACGATTTATCGTCATTTTGATTTTCACTGTCAAGAATGGCCTGTTGTCGATTTTTTAAAATAGGATTTTTCTACTAATTGTAATACATTTATCATTTTTCTATCTATAATTTTAAAGAAAATCGATGTATTTAGAATATCTAATGAAAATGTTAATAAAACTAAACATTAAAATGTTGTAGAGTATGTCCATTGATCAAATGATTGACGTAAAAACGAACTCAAACATTTTTGAGAATTTTTCTTTTTTTGGTCCAGCACTTAGGGGTTATTGCATCTAGAATAATAGGTAGTGGGAAGAAGGATATAAATTTGTTTTGCTTACGACCGATACGGCAGAAGAATGATTTTATTCCCTACAATGTGTTGTGCGGTTCACTGGCCAATAGAAAGTAAATATGTGTGTTCTAGATGAACAACGTGTGTTGCGTTAAAATATATGGGTAACGGATATTTTTTAAATACAACAACAATTGAAATAATGTATAAAAAGTGTGCAATAATTATTTTTTATATTAAACATATTGAGCAAAAGAAATCCTAAAGCTACGTTCACAATGATAGAATACTCCAGCAAATTGTATTTCTGTTCCTTTTTATCAACAATATTTTAAATTTGACTATATCGTTTTAATTCATTCCAGAGTGGAGTGGGTCTTGTATTTTGGTAAAATAATAAAAAATAAATAAAATAAACTAACAAAATGTTTTTAAATGAAGTACGTGGAAAAGAGATGGAATAATTGGAACATCTAATACACATACATTTACTAGAGATCAAATTAGTTTGCAAGAACTCAATATAAAGTATTTTAAATCATATTTGCCAAATTAAACAGATAATAACAACTAAAATCTATCGAAATTGATAAAAATTTCTCGATAGTTAAAATAAATACTATAAAATCGTAAAAATACCATCAAACATGTATATTATATAAATGGAAAATAGCTTTGACGATTTCGAAAAATCAGTTGACGATTTTTTCCTCGAAGTTTGACGATTTTACACCCAAATCATCTGGCAACTATGTCTGGAAGACCTATTTGTTATTACTGTACATTTTGTTATTGTTTTTCAAATAAATCAGATTTTAAACATTAATTGGAATTCTTTAGACTTAGTTTAGTAATTAGTCGCCCAACTATCTTCTGTAGAAGATCATTTAACATATAAAATTATTATAATTAAATCATAATATAATTTCAATTTCCTTGACAGAAAATCGACTTTATAAATATCACACAAATTGAAATACTTACTTACTTTCTTATGTAATTGTTTTTGTTTGAAATGGAACAGCAACACTTACACTTAAAAATAAATCAAAAACGATTCAAAAATGAGTCGAAAAAGAAAAAATTCTTTTAGAAGAGTTGGAAGAAAATTTTGTGTGGCCTAAAATAAATTGATATAATTCTCATTTTATTTATAAAATTAAATGTATAATTATTTTAATTTGTGTGATATTTATAAAGTCGATTTTCTGTCAAGGAAATTGAAATTATATTATGCTTTAATTATAATAATTTTCAATGTTTAATGATCTTCTACAGAAAAGTGTTCGGTAACTAATCACTAAACTAGGTCTATAATTCCAATTAATGTTTAAAATCTCAAAAACAAGTGTTCGAAATATGATTGTTTATAAATTTATTTTGTAGTTATAATTCGCGCAGTCGGAAGATCAAAAACTGTTTTCTTAATACTGCATTTTTCTGCAACAGATATAAATTACTCAGAAAAGACTCAAAAAATCTAAATATGATTCGAAAAACGACCAGTAATTCTACTCATTAATGAGTCAAAAAAGATTAAAAGATGAATCAGAACTGATAAGAAGTGGGGCTCATAAAAGACTCGTTTAGATGAGTCGCGGGTAGAGTACCATTTTCTCCCGACGAAAGTATCATTTATGATCAGAAAATCAGCGCATATATGATCATTTTAATAGTGCAGAAGAGTCATAAATAATTCGAATGTGATAAAAATTTTCAAAAAATGCTAGCTGGCCACAAAACCAATAAAATAAGCAAAGCAAAAATAAAATAACAACAAACTACGCAAATTACTTAAATCTCCGTTATTTTTGGATGGTTTTGCTGATTTTAAATAGGAAACTTCTCGAAAACATGTCTAACAGAATTATCGAAGATTTGGATCGTGAAGATATCTGAGGTCTTCGGAAATGTTATTTCAACTGACACACAGACAGACAGGACATGGCTTTATCGACTCCGGTATCTATAAGGATCCAGAATATATATACTTTATATGGTCGGATAATTATATTGTGGGAATTACAAACGAAATGACAAACATATATATATATCCTTCTCACGAAGGTGAATGGAATAAAAACGAAATGAAACAATGGAATATGAATAAAACTGATTTGAATCGGATGCTAGTTGTATGCTCTTCACTAAATTTTCCTATTGACATATTGGTATAAAATCGGATGTGTGTTAATTTGTATTAACCTGCGACTGTGGTTTCTTCTCTTTGATGATATAAACTTACGACTAGAAGCAAAATTATATTCGCAATTGTCTTGGTTATATGTATTTTAGTACTAACGACAGAGCACTTGATTGTGAATTGAACAATTATGAATCAGCGAAAGCTCATAGTTCAATGTGAATACCATTATTGTCTATAACGACAAATGCGAACGCGCATACAAAATAATAATAAAAAATCAGCTGTTCAAACCTCTTTCTTCCCTCGAGTGGTGTCTGTATACATATGTATGCACGTGTTATGCATATACTTAAATTTATATACATCTACATAGATATCAGTAAATGTATGTATATATGTATTCAGCTTTTATTTATGTAGTTCATCTAAAGACGGAGGGGATGTAATGGGACTGGGAATGTTTATGTACAGTATGTGTGTATGTATCATCATAGTAGGAAGGTAATGTTTATTTATGTATGTATGCCGTTTATGTTTGTTGTTGGTGGATTCCTTATCAAACTTTTCATTCATGACACTCTGTTTCAAATAACAATAGTGTACACTGGAAAGTTACAAATTGTACAAGAATGTATTCTGACTGTGGTTGACTGGAAGGATACATACAAATACATACACATATTGCATCCGTATATAACGAATAGAGTGCTTAGATTTTAACAGCATCAGCATCAACATCCAGTTTCCTGAGAAATTTTGCTTTGTTTGGTCGCTAAACGGATAATAATTTTTACGTTTACAGCCAAAATTGTTTTTTCTTTTCTTATTCATGTGCTGTTATATAAATGTAATACAGAAGTGATAAAAAATCAATGTATATGTATAAAATATGTGAAAATAATTTGTATAATAATTACATAAAGAAAATGTTTCAACGTTCTCAAATTGCATAAAATAAAGGAAAAAATATAAAAGTTTTTCGTGTTAAAAATAGTTATGAAAGAATAAAGTTAATATGTAATATAAATCAAATTACTCGAAATTTATCGATTAAAGACGGGAAAAATTGAAGAGAAAAACAAACGAGATAAAACAATTTGAAAAAATACAACTAACCTGGTCTACAATTATAAAAATTAATAAATTCTAATGTTAATTGCTAAATGTTGAAGGGCGTATCTTTTCGTTACCATAGTTGGGTGCAAATTTGATTATTTAATTTATATACTATCTACTATATAGGAAAAACTAACACAAATATGTATATATATGTATATATATAGATATATATGCATATGTATGTATGCACGTATGATATGTGTTTGTATCTATGTTCATTAGAGTGTCTCGATGAAAAGCTTTTTTTGCGAATCTATTGTAGAAATACCTGAAAATGGGGTGTAGCGTTTAAGTGTATATGGGAAAACGCGAAAATGTCATAAAAGTATGTAGCTCTCAGACACATAAAAGTGTTAAAATATTGGTAGCTCGAATTAATTCATGTACCATTTATTATTGAGTGACCCCATTGAAATCGAATTTGACATATTAAAAACTGACGTTTGTCAGTTTTTGATAATACGACATCCATTAAAGCAACTAAAAATACTATAATATGTGAAATGTTTGCGACTTCCCGTTTTAAGTACACATAAACCTCATCTGTCTCCTATCAAATGTGGACTATAACGTTAAAATGCACCCTTATTTTGAGTATGGTAAAGGAAAAATTATATTTTTGAGTAAAATGTATTTTTTTTAAATATTACATTTAAAGTAATGACACAGGGTTTTATACCTGTATTCCAATAACTGTAAATATGACAGTAAGGATCGGTGTTAAACTTTAAGATCAGCGATTTAATTAATTAATTTTCGAAAATTGTTTTGTTTGTTGAAACGGACAGTGATGGTGTAAAAAATACCAAAGTGTGAATAGCTGAAGAGAATACATAAATACAATACAAATTAGCACACAAGAATTATAGAGACTCAACAAATCAATTATTATTAATTATTAAAATTAATTTTTTAATAAATTTTGCAATTTATTTAAAGGATCAAATCTAAGAAATAATTCATAAAGTTTTCTATGGAGTTTTCATTCTTATGGAATGCTAAATTCCTTTTTTATTAATTCAATGAAATTAGAATCCAAAGAATTTTTTATAATAGAAATATTTTAAAGAATTATAGATTATTTATTAGTTTTAATTCGAATTTTGAATGATTTTTTCAAATAAGCTAAGAAAATAATAAATTAGGATGAATTAATTCTAAATATACTTTTTCCAATCTCATACCGAGGAGGAGGATATAGTCATAGGTGTTAGCGGTAATGTTCCCCTAAAGCAAAAAAAAAAAAATATGAATATTAATTCCATGATGCAGGGCCAAATTGACCCAGTACTGACTGAAAGTGTTGAGACAATTGACTTCGTCATCCATTAATCGTCAGTAAAATACTGCTACTGAGGTGGGTACCTTATCCTCCGTGGCGGACAAATCTTCAATTCTACATCATTGCCAGAAATGTAGAGGCGAAAAAGCAGGATGTACTCGAAGGGCGCTCTAAGCAACCTCAGCATTTTAATACACTTGAAGGTTCGACTTTAAATCCTCAGATGATAGTAACAACTCCATCATACTTAATCTCAACATAGATAAAATAGAGCAAATGGCGGAAGAGGTGAATGACAGCATAGCTTGCTATTCACCAATAACAAATATTATTTTGGGCATAGAGGTGGAAGTTGAAGAAGATGCTCCAGAAGACATATTTGGCCAGTTTGAGGAAAATCCGAGAGTCATATCGAATTAGTTACAAATCTTTGAGGCAAATAGAACCAAATCTTCCGAGGAGCTAATCATTGAAAACAGACGCAGGAATAAGCAAGTAAAAAAGTATACAGCAGTGTATACTTGGAAAGTATTCCTCCTGCATAGAACGGCGCTAGGATAAGACGGGACCTTGCTTTCAAAGTGCACTACCTACGTTAAAAAATGGGACAATATCTTATTGGAAATTCTGACTGGTAGCATATGGAAATTCTTGGCAGCCAAAATTTAAACTTGTAAAAAGGATTCTGAGAGCACTCTTCTTGTGATAGGTTTCGACCAGAACTGCAAGGCTAACCTACCAAAAAAGTGTAAAATTATAAAATTGTAAAGGTGCCCACTGGTTATCACTACCCTCGATGAGGACACCGAAGGACATTCTGCATGCAACATAGAAGACTAAATCCTAGAAACGAGGAGGCGATCTGTGCCTCGCAAGAGGATAGTTTAGCAACCTCATACTAAATTAGGTATGGATGGTATTTTTTCGACGCGGAGATAGTTTTAATTTATTCGTTTTTACTACATGCTTGAAATTCACATATACCCCACATAGATGGCAGGATGCTTTGGGCAAAAAATGTAACATAATTAATTTAATAATTTAAGTGGACATGAGCACTACGTCGACCAAAGCTTTAGAAGCATTGCTGGATACTTCTATGATCGAAATAGACTGCCCTGGTACCCATATCTATAGGCGAATTGACCAAAGTTACCGGACACGTCATCAATGAATACTGGAAATATAGGACTGTTATATTCAAAGATCGCGTGCCGGAAAATTCAAAAAGACCAGTTAAGAACGAAAATGTAGCAAAAAAATAGATAGTTCTTAGTACTAGAGTAACATGAAAAAATTAATACATTTTTGAAAAGAAATTAAAAAATATAGCAAAAACAACAAAATATGATCTAAAAGAGAAAAATATGCCTTAAATATACTACTAAAGTAAAATCATGCAAAATTATGCTCTTATGGGTAAAATATGCAAAAATATCGAATATAAAATCGATGCAAAAAACGAATTAAATTGGTCTGAAACGTGTAAATATCTTATTCATTAGTCCATTCGACGCTCCGTAAAGAACATGCATATTTTGGTTTCCCTGATTATAACTATTTATTTGATTTTACACGTTTCAGAAATGTTTTGACAGGACCTTGCTACCAACTGTTTAAAAAAATCTGAAAAAGTGTGCAGGAGTTATTTGAAACGAGAATTTAATCAGAAAACCTTTAGATAAAAATACTCGAGATTTATTCGAAATGAATTATTTAATTTGTTTTTCAATTACAGAAGATATTTTTGCTGGGTTACTGAAGACAAATATCTGTACTTGTTTACCCTTAAGCAAACGATACATACTTTCATATGTGTAAGGGAAAGATCTTGCCATTACGCTTGTAGCAACTTTAACATTTTTTTTATTTTATATAGTAATAATAAATGGATGAATTCCTATACAAGGATTAGATTAAACTATCGTTCCGTCTAAATATGATAATTTCCAGTCATAAACATAAAACAAAACTTTTCATTGTTTAACACTATCTAAATCTTAACTTTACATAAACACAAATAAAATGAAACCAACGACCGGTGAAACCATTAGAGCGTGGTTATTGTCTGCTTTAATGGTACATGGAGCTGTTGCCGGAAATCCTGATGCCAAACGTTTATATGATGATCTCCTCAGTAACTACAACAAACTAGTCAGACCGGTGGTTAATACAACAGATGTTCTTAAAGTCTGCATAAAATTGAAATTATCTCAATTAATTGATGTGGTAAGTTTTATTTTGGTACAAAATCTAATATCTTATTATATTATCCTAATATCCTTATATACATACATACATACATACATACATACATACATACATACATACATACATACATACATACATACATACATACATACATACATACATACATACATACATACATACATACATACATACATACATACATACATACATACATACATACATACATACATACATACATACATACATACATACATACATACATACATACATACATACATACATACATACATACATACATACATACATACATACATACATACATACATACATACATACATACATACATACATACATACATACATACATACATACATACATACATACATACATACATACATACATACATACATACATACATACATACATACATACATACATACATACATACATACATACATACATACATACATACATACATACATACATACATACATACATACATACATACATACATACATACATACATACATACATACATACATACATACATACATACATACATACATACATACATACATACATGTACATATATATTATACATGTATGTATATATTATACATGTATGTATATATTATACATGTATGCGACGGTTTTTATAGTTTTCGTAAGAAAATTCTGCTGAAGCTATGTTGATACACATACACTATAGGTTTAATTCTTATTCTTTATATAATGAGCTATATGAAACTACTTGAAATATGATCACAAAATAAGTTTTCAAGACCATCATATTTTAAACACCAGGATAGGTATACACTATAGGTTTAATTCTTATTCTTTTTATAATGAGCTATATGAAACTGCTTGAAATATGATCACAAAATAAGTTTTTAAGACCATCATATTTTAAACACCAGGATGATCAATTTATGATTGCTATACATTTTTTATAGTTTTTCAAATAATCAGTTTTCAATCATATATCGGGATCATTTTCAAATCATTTTTTAAGCGCTCAACTTATTAATCACTTTTAGGTCATCAAATGGAGTCAAAAATGACTTAGTTTACTAATTAATCATCCAACAATCTTCCAAATGCTAGCTGGGTTACACCTAAAACTTACTCAAAAACGATTCAAAACTGAGTCGAAACTGATTAGAAAAGGGGTTCAGAAAATACTCTTTTAGAAGAGTTGGCAAAAAATATTGTGTGGCCTAAAATGAGTTGATATAAGTATTTCAATTTGTGTGATATTTATAAAGTCGAAATATGGTTGTTTATAAATTTATTTTGTAGTTACATTTCGCGCATAAACTGTTTTCTGTATAATATGATTCGAAAATAACTCTTATTAATGACTCAAAAAAAGATTAAAAGATGAATCATAAAAGACTCGTTTAGATGAGTCGCGGGTAGGGTACCACTTTCTTCCGACGAATGTATCATTAATGATCAGGAAATGAGCGCATAAATGATCATTTTAATCGTGCAGAAGAGTCTTGACTTGAATTTTGAAGAGTCTTGACTTGAATTTTCAAAAAATGCTAGCTGGGTATACATATATACTTGTATACTATACATTTTTTTGATTTTTTGTTTGTTTTAAACGGCTGGACCGAAATTTGAACTAGAAGGGAAAAAAGTCGAAAATATTTTCGATTAGCTTTCTAATGTATGGGGAATATGTATTTATATGTATCAGAAAAGTTCCGTTACAAAAGTTGTACCAGAAGGTGACAAAAACTAAATATAAGAGGGAATATGGGTAAAATTAGTACTTTGTATGTACTTTAATACTGATATTTCTGTTCTAAAGTTAAATATTTCGAAAGCCAACACTGAGGGGACAAAGACGGATAAAAAAGGGGAATTCTGTGTATGCTGCATTAATACTTTAATGGAACAAATGACTAATAAATATCTTGTTTTTGGGCATTTCAATATAAAAGAGGAATAAACTGGCAATTATGTGTTGCTCTAGTACACAGAGGGAAAAAATATACACGCCTGGTACCAAATTGACACCAAATTTTTCAATAACAACCGTTGTCAAGTATATACATATGTACGTACAACAACACTGACACACTGTTGACAACGTAAAGCTCACTATTGACAACTTATTTTGAGCTTACTACGTTTGTTATCTTTTAGACAACGGATGTGCATAAAATTTAGATTGCGACAACGAATTGTTGCAATGTTGACAACGTTGCGTTGTCAATATTACATAGTGTGGTTGTACGTATGTATGTATATACTTGACAATGGATGTCATTTATGGAATTTAAGAAATATGTAAGTACACGAGAAGTAAGAATGTTTTGTACTTTTGGTATTACCTTTTGTAAATGTTGTTCTAACTTAAAGAAACTTGAATTGTAGCTTTACAAAATTACAAGAAACACATTTTTGAATTTCTTCCGAAAGGGACCTTTAGCGGAAAATAACGGGAGGAATGTTATTTGTATGCAAACACTCCGATTTCATGAATTTTAGATATAAAATATATATATTAGAAACGCCAATTGGCTATATATTTTATACAAACATGGGTTTAAAAGGGACAAATGCCATTAAAAAGTAAGTTGTTGAGTAAGAATAAGTCATTACCATGTTTTTACTGGGATGTTTAGGAGCTAGTACATTAGGACATAGTACATACATATTTGTGTATGAATTTGTATTTTGTATACTCAAAATTTCAAATTCAAACTGCACAGGGAAAAAACTGGGAAAATTATTACTTTTTGTTCTAAGTCAATGAATATTTTTTTGTAAATATATTTTTGTTTAGTCTTTCTCAATTTTTAGTGAATCACTTTTCCAAATATTCAAATGTTGGTATACCAACCAGAACCAATACTTTGACATTTCAAAAATTTTCGAACAGGTTTTGTACACTACCCTTTTCGATTTTGATTCTTTTTTCTTTCACCAAATAAAGCTTATAGTGTTCTTAATAAAATATAAACATTTTAAAATGGAACAATGAGCGGATCTCAAGTAAATCAATGTTTATTAAAATAATCCTGCTCATTTCCATAAAAATTTCTAAATTTATAATTTTAGTTTTGATGAACTTGAGATTCCCTCATTGTGCAACTCTGATTTTTCTCATAAGCTACTTTTGAAGGAATACACAATAAGGAAGGAGTGTAACATTTTTGAAATAGCCTTCACTCAAGGACATTTTTGAATATAATTATCCTTGTATTAAAACTTTAATATTTTAATAATAGTTATATTAAACTAAAAAATATAGGTTTTAATTAGGGACTAAAACGCTTAAAATTGGATAGATAGTTTAGATAGATAGTCAAATTTAATGCTTGTTGAAAGAAGTCTTAAAAATATGAACTTTGAACCTCGATAAAATGTAAACCGTAACGGATTTAGCAACACGAAGAATGTGTGTACCGAATTTCATCGAAATCGGAGAGGGTCATGTTCAAAATCCTAGTTTTTTGTTCGAAATTTTTTGAAATCACCCAACTTACAAACAATTATTTTCGCCAATTTAAACTAAATGATAAAAAATAAGCTGGTCTAATATTTTTGAAGCTTTTAGCTTACGGTCTTACCTAAATAAAGGCCATAAGCGTTGCTTTACTTGTAACTAGTTTTTGTTTTCATAAAATTTGTATGGTACTCAACGCTCAACACGAATGTCTTAAGGTTCCATATGAATATTTTGACAAAAACGGGCGATCCATCATGTGCCACGCCCCCTGACATATAAAGTAAATACTAAAATCTGTATATCTGGAAGAGTATAATAAAATAAACTACAACAAGCAACTTTTGTTTAAATATTTTGGCGGTCTAACAAAAGTGGTCGTGGCATATCCCATATAAAATAAATACTTCTGCGAGTAGTTTTGGCGATTGTTGAACGAATGTATCGTCGCTCATGCATTTTAACGAGCATCGGAGGATTGTTGTTAGTCATCGATCGTATTTTACTCTTCCAAATGATGCCTATTATTGTCAAACCGGTTTATTTATATTACACTACAATCGCCGATTACGATTTTGGAGATAGTTGGACGAATTTTACCGTTATACATATAAACGTTAAGTAGACAATTAATAAACCCAATTCCCCAAAGGGTTTTAAAAAGTTAGCTCGTATTGTTAATTTATAGGCATTTTAAACTTAGCTTTTTTCAGTTAAATTTTCTCATACGTAATATCAAAAAATTTTGAGCATGACCCTCTCTTATTTTGAAGAAATTCGGTACACAAATTCTTATCATACATACAAAAATGTTAAGTTCTCCAAAATTTCCAAATTCATTACGATTATGATTTTATCGAGGTTCAAAGTTCATAATTTTAACAGTTTTTCTAAAAAGGATTAAATTTGATATTGTATATATTCTAACATATTTATCCGATTTTAATCATTTTGGACTTTAATTAATGCCTGTGTGTTGTAGTATGACAATACTTTATTTGAAATATTAAGGTTTTAAAATTATGATAATTATATCAAAAAATGTCCTTGAGTCAAGGGTATCTTAAAAACGGTATCTCCCACTTTCATTATTTCTTTGCTAAAATTTGATTATAATAACAAGATATAAAAAAATCAGAGTTGGACCATAAAGGGATCCATAGAAAATCTAATTTTAGTAAATTAATCCACTTTACTTCCGTACAAATTTTAAAAATTTTCATTTTATTTTTTAAAAAATCAAATAAAATTTGAACATTTCTAGTAGAGTATTTACCAACAACTATTAAAATAGAAAGGAATTTAAAGCCCACAAAGTATAAAGATTAATAAATTTAAATATCTAAAACTTAAGTAATTGAGTAATTTATATATTGACTTATTTCATTGGATTACATACATATAAAATACATATATGGGAAATTTTTTCACAAAATTACAAAACTTTAAAAGCCTATAAATTAAAAACTCGAGCTTTTAGTCAACTGATGGTCTACTTTAATTTCCCCTTGGTCTCATTCGGGAAAGATTTTCTTGTTGCACAGTGTAATCAGTA